ACGATTGAATTTTTTGTTTTTTTTTGTTTGTTTTTTTTTGTAATCCATGATTGAATTTTATGTAATCCATGATCGAATTTTATGTAATCCATGATTGAATTTTTTGAAAATTTGTGATTTTTTTTTTTTAATCCATGATCGAATTTTTTTTTGTAATCTATGATAGAATTTTTTGAAAATTTGTGATTTTTTTTTTAATCCATGATTGATTTTTTTGAAAATTTGATATTTTTTTTTTTAATCCATATTATTCAAAGAGAAAATGAGAGAGATGATGATTCTGAGGCCACCCTATCCCAGCCATATTATTCACATATCGAGTCCCAACAGCAACAGTGTAGGGATGAGCACGAAATACTGTAAATTAAATGCTGAATGGCGGTTCATGCAGGGAAAGAACATATCAATATTCGCATATTCATTAAAAAACATGAAAATTCTTAATGGAGTACCCTCATTTTTTATTGAATTCCTAAAAAATAATATTTATAATGAATTTTAATAATTTTTTCGAATTTTTTTTAAGCTTTATTCTTACCGATTCACCCGATTCTCGATCCGAATCGCCGATTCGTTGATCCGGATAGGTTTTTTGGAAGCCCGATCCGGGTCACCGATCCGTTTTTTAAACCATTGGTTTAGAGCCTCGGCTCTATACAAACTGCACCCTCAAGAGAATAATTTGGACAGGGAGAAGAGTTTTGTCGTTTTGAGTGGACCCGATGGTGACGTGAGTTGGAAGTGGGCGTAAGCATCCTTTTATTCCCGCCGATGGCCTTTTAACAAGAGAGGAACGCCATCTTTGACACCTCCAATTGAGGCTTTCTTTCAGATAAATGGAGCTTCCTGTGATAGATCTGGGGCCATACTTAGAATGCTCAGCTAAATTTATCGCCGATGGGGCTCCAAAAACGCCCCTTGGTTTGGACGATCTGGGCCCTGAACTTAGAGACCTCTGCTCAGTGGTTAGTGAAACTCTTAGGGACACTGGGGCACTTCTGATTAAGGATCCGAGATGCTCAGCAGAGGACAATGATCGATTTCTCGACATGATGGAGAAGTATTTTGAGAAATCTGATGAGTTTAAGAGGCAGCAAGAGAGGCCCCATTTGCATTACCAGGTTCTCTTTTGTTTCCCTTTCAATAGGCTTCTTATTTAAAATGTTAGATTTTTCTGTGCGCATTTTGGACGGCGCTTACCATTTCAATGAGTTTCTTATTTTAAATGATAGATTTTTCTGGGCACATTTTTTATGACGTTTTTTGTGGGGTAGATGTTTCTATAATTGGAATTTATTTCTCTAGGCCCATTTTGGACGTTGTTTGTAATTGGGTTATATATTTTTAAACCCATTTCAAATGCATTTTTCATTTGGGTTAGATTTTTCTAGGCCCATCTAGACGCAACTTTAACTGTTCAATGGAGTTTTTATGGGCCCATTTTAGTTTTGATGTGATTCTACACAGATCACGATTCAGTTATAGCTGAGTAATAGGAAAAACCTTGAGTTTGTATAACGCTTCTTTCTATTTTCTTGTTTTCTATGTTTTATTTTTTATTTTGATGTTGATTCGGGAGTTTTGTCTGGGATTTGTTTGCATTTTGCCGTTATTTGAATTTGGGTGGTCTTCTTTTTCTTTTTCTTTTTCTTTCTTAGACTAGAAATTTCATTCTAGACAGTCTGTTCATTCGGTTGAGTGTTGAGTAACTTGGTAATTTTCATTAGAATAAATAATTTCTTACTTTCATGTGATAATAATCTTTGCTCCTTTAAGGGAAAGAAATTGTTCTAGATAGCCATTTTGGCTGATCCTGCTATCAATAGCCTTGGCATGCCCTTTGGCCTTTTATGTTTAAGCTGATCTTGTTGTAATTGTTATTCATTCATAACTATCAGTTATCGAAGTTATGCAAAATGAAGAAAAGTCATTATCTGAAATTTTACATGAATGATTGTAGCTGCATAGGACATCAATAAACGACCAAACCACCTAATTTTTATTTTTAGAGTGCCTTCAAAATTTGCAGATTTTTGCAAAGAAAGAGGTTAAGATTGTACATTATTTCTTCATTTGCCATAGATGACTGAATCATTCCTTAAATTCCACATACTTCCAAACTTATTACTGCAATATGATTAATATAATGGTCTTTGTAGTTTTGAAATTTAAGATTCCTATAGGTCAACACAAACTATCAGTATTTGGTTACTTCGTGAAGTAATATATATCCTGGCAATTAATTTTGAGGCTTCCTTTTTTCTTTTACGAAGTGCTATTTGCAAGATCACTTTGGTGCATTTCCATATGTGAGAAATCTTTTCCAAAATAATATGTTCTATTCCCTTTTTCATGGGTTCATTTTGTTAATTTTGGCAATCGCTATCATGTATAAATTTAAAAATGTGCTTGTGTGGGTGTGAGTGTGTGCATCAAACATGCATGGGCTTCTTTAGGCAATGTGCAGTTTATTTTCCTTTTCTTTTCCATGAATTTAAAAATGTGCTTGTGTGCCAAATGCTTCTTCAAAAGTAACAGATAACCATGTAGTGTCAAAACAATTGTAGTTCTATAACACCTCTTTATGTAAATTGCTATATGGCGTGGAGGCACTTGAAGATATTTATATTGATAATGCTCCACCAGCTTGCCACTTGTGTAAAATTCTGAAAAATGTCAGGCTATATTGATTTTTCTGATGGCTGCTCTTTGCAATTACCCCATATGATGTTAGTTTAAATCCCTGAAGGAACATTAAAGTGCCTTTGCAGAAAGTTTGAAACTCATCCGACTTCAAATGGTCTACTTGAGGAAATTCCTCCTCCTATTTAGTTGTAGTTGGAAGGTATACTTGTGGATGGTGCAAGGAGTCTTCTTTATCCTAGAGAAACAAAACGCTATTCTGTTGTTTGCTGGATTTAAACTGAAAAGTGAATATTCTAATGTTCATTTTTTTTGTAATAGTTGTGCACCACATGCCACAATTCGTACTGGTATAATGAACTAGGAGGAAAGGTTAAAGGCACTGACTTTGCACCTTCTCCTATGGAAAAGAAGTCTATCGTTAATCACGTGGATTTTTGTTCTCTAGTAAAAGGGGTGAGACTCTTATGGTTCTCATTGTTGGCCACCCCATTGATAAGTGCTGAAATTTATTTGGCAAAGGGCAAAACACAGTTTGCACCAAAGCCAATGTATGAGATGCAGGCCCAAATTGCCTCCTATTGAGATGCTTCATCTTTGACATTCGTTGTGATTTGTGGATGGGTTTCGATTAATGAAAGATTGGAGACTTTTGGGTTGGTAGATCAAGCCTCACATGCATTAAGAGGCTAGAATTTGATCTCAAAATGTTAGCTAGATCTCAAATGTGAATTGGAGGGATTGAAATTTCTCTTCAAACTTGCAATGCTGCTTCCATATACAAGAGACCTTGAGAAAGTTTCAAATGCTGCAGAAACAGTTCAGGCCCCATATCATTTTTTGTGCCACTTTATAGTTTTGACCAACTTTCGACAAATTGCTCGTTTGCCCTGCTCAAGTTATATCGAACAATTTACTTCTCAAAAAAGAATTGCTATATGTGGTGTTTAGCTCTGATGGGTATTTCTTTTGTTTTATTGTCTCATCTCATAGACACATCTGAGGCTACAATTATTTTGGTTTCTCTTGGGTTCACCCCATTTGTAAAAGGATTCCATGATTGTGATTCACTCTAGGCTGGTAGAGATGTCCTTTGCCCATGAATTCAAAACTTGGTACTTGGTAGCATGTTCCATGACCCAGCTGAGTAGGATTTGCTCGACAGGCAACAGAAATTTGGAGCTTCACAAACTTGTACACGTTGGGGCTTTGAACACCAAAATTTTCATTCACTTGCTTGAGTGGCTGTATGTTTTTCAACGTTATTGTTTCCAGAGCAGCTACCACATGTACTTAGTAGGAGGAAATTTTGATTATCCTATTTCATTGAACATCAACTTTATGTCTATGTATGTGAGTGTGCAAAAACTGAGAAACAGATAGGTGGGCACAGGGACCAAGTCAAGTCGTAGTAAAGCACTACCGTTAGCATCTGCCAGTAACAAATTTGGCAGGCTATATGAAATAAATTTCTTTCATTGTTTTTAGGTCATTTAAATGTATCCAAAATATTCTTTAATATATATTTGAAGAAGAAACTGAAGGGCTTCATTGCAGTATGTTCCTACAGTGAAGTGAACTTGCGCTGGATAGCGAGGTCAAATTGACATTACTCAGGTCCACTATTATTGGTTCCAGACTTCCAGGCAACAAAAAAGTGACATATAACTTTTGTACTATGTATTTATGGCAAGGCAATAGTTGCTGTTTCTTTTGATTTGGTTGAACTTGAAAGTCTCAGGAATTTATTCTTTTCTATAGATGCCAAAGAAGACACAGATATCAGCCATTCTATCCTATTTGATCAAATACAGTATCTACCTTCTTGATATGCATGTCCAAATGGTGTGTCTTATGATTTTGATATAATCGTTTTGAATGTATAGGGTCCTTGAGCATCATGATTCACTGTAAGAGTGACTTGTCAAACAATCAAATTATCCACTAATGGCAAGAGGGTAAAGCAGGTTATGTTAGTTTCTTTCATTTCCCCTCTCATGGAACTCGATGTAACCTTTACATTATTTTATCTTTATAAAAAGAAAAGAAACTCATAATTGTTGGATACATGAATCTCTTGTGTTGGAAGTTTGCCACACCTTGACCCACAAAACAAAAAATACCGCGAGAATTTTGGGATTGGTAAAATCCCACATATGCTTACATGTGGTTGTGAGCTCCATTAGTTAATAGCCAATATCTGTGGCCATTTGAAGCATCAGATTGAAAATCCAATGCTTTGTTTTATTTTATTGTATTTTACTTTTTCAGCATTGTTTTATTTTATTGTATTTTACTTTTTTGAATGAATTCTAGACATCATGTTGTGGTAGTTGCCACCCTGACCACCTCTGCCTAGAGGGCATTCGCTTAATGCTTTGCTTCACTAGACTTCAGAAGGAAACTTATAAAGGGTCTTGAGACATGAAATACTTGTCCCTGATTGAGTGCATTCAGATTGTTGGCCAGTTAACTTCATAATTAAAATTTATATGCAGAATAATGCCTGGATTGTTATTGAAAAGCTAAACTTATAACAGCAATTATAACGGCATGAATGAAATCATAAGCTTCCTACCCAAAACAAAAACAAAAAGAATGAAATCATAAGTTTAAAATCTTCATCGGTTGCCCTAGTTAATACTACTTTGAATAGAATAATGCATGTATAGAACAAATGTACGTTCACCTTGGTCACCTTCATAATGTAAACAGCAACAGTTCAAAAATCTTTGTGCCTTTTTCTTTTGTGGTGTCATACTCAACCTTACTTCTCATCATTCACATTCATTCCCAAATTATCGGTTGAAGGCAAAAGGAAAAGGGGATTCTGAGGGTGCCCTTTCATTTCCCTCCTTATGCAATTTGATGTTACCTTTCCACCTACTGTTATTTATAAAAAAAAAGGCAAGTTATGTTGAGTTTATTACCAATCATTTTAACTTTAATTGGAACAGAGCATAATGAGATTGGAAAATGCATATCCATATGGCATTTTTCATATTCGTGGTTGATGATTTTGGAAATGATGCTAGATTGGATTGTGGTATTGATTATGAAAATATCCGATGTCAAAACAGGTTGGTGTGACTCCAGAAGGAGTTGAGGTTCCTCGTAGTTTTGTGGATGAAGAACTACAAAATATGATAAATATGATGCCAGAGGAGTTCCGACCTTCCATTCCTATGGGACCAGACCCTAAGTGGAGGTACATGTGGAGGGTGGGCCCACGGCCACCTAGCACTCATTTTCAGGTTTCAATATGATCTTATATGTTACTTGTTTGGATCTTGTACATTTATTTTTTATTACATATGCTTTGATCGCCAACTGCTGGCCTTTTCCCATGTAGGAATTAAATTCTGAACCTGTTATACCAGAAGGTTTTCCAGAGTGGAAGGATACAATGGATTCTTGGGGTTCCAAAATGATATCTGCGATCGAGGTTAGAAACTTTCTTTTCTTAGAGACTGGATACTATGGTTTGTTGATTGATCTCTTGACTGTCTTCCAAAAATATTCTTTAACAGGTTGTTGCAGAAATGACAGCTATTGGTTTTGGGCTGCCTAAGGATGCATTTACTTCTCTTATGATTCGGGTAACTGGTATTCTTGGTTTTATTGTTCTTAGGATTTTGCAATATTCAAAAAATAAATGTTCTTAGGATTAGGAGTACTGGATTTGTGCCCGTTGTTGCACTTGCTGGTTTGAACCAGTAGATATCAGCTTATGTTTTGGGTTACTCATTTGAAAGTATCAATCCTATCCATCTTTTACTTCATCTGTGCTTTCCACGGCAACCCACTTTTTACTCTCTTCGAGATGCCTAATATCTCTTCTTTCATATGGCTGATATTCTATGTTGGGCAAAAGAAAGAAAAATGAAAATAGAAAAAATAAAACTAAAAAATATGACAAATATCAGAAAACATGTAGAATAGAGGTATGACAATATCAAGTATGACCAAGATGACATCAACAGAGCCAACATTTAGAAACATTCAATAAGCATTCAGTAATTGTTCTGGGGCTTTAATTTCTTGTATATTGCAAGATATGGTAACTTTATATGTGTGTGTTTCTTATCTAGTTTAAATTGATTGTTTTGGTTGATTAATACATGTTATATGAAGAGGATACTTTCAAATTGTATATGTTTATGTCAGTGTGTGTGGAATTATGCTGACTGGTTAAGAATTTAATGTTTTTAAACTTGAGCTTAAGGTGGTGTGAACCTTATTACTTTATCTGATGTAGTGAATGCCACACGTTGCATTAAATGTTTTCTACTGTCAGCTTGTAGAACGTTAAATCTTGCATATGCAGTGGAATACTATAGCATTGAGCTCCTTACATGCCCTTCAGATAATGGGACTTCTCCCATATCACTAGTTTGTAAATTGCCCTCCACTTAAGATGCCTCAATCCACTTTTAATGATGGAACCACACATATGGAGGTAAATTTGATTATTTGAATGGAACAAGTTATTGATTAGAGGCATCTCATCATCATCATCAGAGCCTTTTCCCAACTATTTGGGATTGGCTGCACGAATCTTAGTCCGCCATTCAGCCCTATCAAGGGTCACACCCTTAGTGAGGTCATAAGTCTCTATATATTTTCTCACTGCTTTCAAACATGTCCTTTTGGGCCTACCTTATCCTTTTTTAGCCTTCCACTTGAACCAACTCAACCTCTTAACAGGTCCGCCATTCTGTTGACTAGGATCATTTGACTTCATTAAATAATCAGAAAATGACATAATTCTATTATAAAGCTATGAGCACAATTGACTTGTGAACCAGATGCCTGATTCTAGCAGGCCTCCTCCTCCAGGGGATTTTCAGTATCATGAGGGCATTCTTTTTCTGTGCTTGTTTTATCTTAAAGCATTCTGTTATTAGTCAATGATTCCTGCCCGTGTGAGACTTGCACATACAGCAATTCTAGTTTGATTAGAAATAGTTGGGTGTTTGCATTCATAATACCAGAACCAATATCTCTTTTTGCTGTATGCCCCAAAAAAACTCTTGGTTGATCTTGCCAATAGAAAGGCATATCTGTATACATATCCACAAAAAATATAACATACATCTCTCTGCATGCATGGCATTGGTACTAAAGGATTTGTAATTGGTACAAAGGCATGAAGAGGCTATATTTGTTTTCATTTATCAATGTTAAAGTGTTAGTGTTTGAAAGAAAAAATAGTTAAGGACAAAGCAGGGGCATTTTGATCCCAATAAGAAAGAGGTGGGAGTAGTGGACCATTTCATGCAACTTCTGCTTGAGTCCAAATCCAATCATCACTCAAACTTGAGATAAGACTTATATCAGTTCCTAACACTATGCTACTTTCTGATACTCAGCATCTTGCTCATCTGGACAATAGAAGCATCATTCATTTTCCTGAGGGGGGTGGATAAAGGCAACTTTCTGGAATCAATGACCCATGGAATGCATTTTACATGGGTCATTTTTCCTTCAACAGATCTCCCAAGTTGGCCATTGACATGATCTGGATCATCCATCCAATTCATTGCTACAATTTACCTCATGGAAAAGCATATGGTAGTCCAGTGGAGTACATTAGAAAGTAAGCCACCATCTGTTCTTGATGACATGCATTTGGGAGTTAAATTTTGTGGGTGAATGTCCCAGGGGAAGCCAAAAGCATTAATTTTTCCTTTCTAGTAGCAGGAACAGATAGTGGATGCCCTGGAGTACCCTTTCTACTAGCAGGAACATATACCCTGCTCTTTTTGGGTTATAGTTCACCTTCCTTTACCTTAAAATATATGATTTTAACCAATAATTATCTTATTCTATCAGGGACCTCATCTGCTTGCTCCAACAGGAAGTGATCTTGGACGTTATGGTGATGAAGGAATGGTGTTCGCTGGATACCATTATGACCTCAACTTTTTAACCATCCATGGCCGGAGTCGATTCCCTGGTTTGAATATTTGGCTGAGAAATGGCCGCAAAGTTGAGGTGAAAGTTCCTGTTGGATGCCTTATATTCCAGGCAGGGAAAGAGGTAATATTTCTATCACACGCTTTTGATGTTCTGAGAAATGAACACTCCCGTCTTTAAAGAAATGACTACTACACTTTTGCAGTTTTTGAGGCGACCACTCTTACTGCTAGCGTTTAAATAAAGAAAGGAAATGAAATTTTGTTTCTTTTTAGGAATGTAAGCGTGATTTAGAGGAGGGAACTAGACATAGGTGCAATAGCTCAAAAAACACAAAACTGAGCCCTCACTCGATGATCATGAAGTTTCTGACCAATACAGAGTGGTGTGTGTGCATGCATGTACACATGGGTGTGCATTCACACATGTTAATGAGTATACAGCTCTGCTGATAATCTGTGCCACACAAATAGGTCTTTATTTCTAGATCTCCTACAAATTCAACCTCTATTATTCTATTAGGTCTTACGTTTTAGAAAAGAAACGGCCACCTTTTAGAAAACACTCGAATCATCAGATGTTTAGAAGTTTTTGGAGAAGTGAAAAATGGAATATCGAAAAGCACAAGGAATCGTGCTTGGGCTTGACTGTTTAGCTGTTGATGTTGACAATACTACGTCTGAAGTTTGATATGTACTGCTCAACTACCAAAAACAAAAACATGTCCCATCTATAGATGGCCTCCACTGTGCATGAACTTGAAACGCACGACCATTGACTTAAGTTTTATGTTCCTGGTTCTTGGGAGCTTTTTCCTTTTCAATGAAGTCTGTCCATTAAAATCTAATATTTTTCATCAATAGAAAACAAGATATCTACTTTTCTATTAACCTAATATGTTCGCATTAGTTTTTAATAGTTGAATGGATAGTATAAACAGCTTCTACCTTCACTGCTCTTGCACAACTCATTTTCACTACACTAAGGCATGTTTTGGCAATTTTTCCATGAGACTGGTTTTCTGTATAATATTGCTGCAGCTCGAGTGGCTCACAGCAGGAGAGTGCACAGCAGGCATGCACGAGGTTGTGGTGACCAAGCAAACAATTGCTGCAATTGAATCTGCACGCCTGAAAAACCAGAGCCTTTGGCGTGTGTCATCCACTGTGAGTGAATATTTCTTGCTTTTCTCCAACTGTATGTACTGATTGCTTTATAGATTCTCTCATTTAATATAACAATTCTCCTCTTTTTCCTCTTATACAAATGGTTTCCTTTTCGATTTCTCTCTTTTTGTTACATAGATGCTCTTCGTTTCCTTTTCTTTTTTGGGTTTCTGTTTTTCTTTTCTTTTGTTTTAGGTGGCAACTATTTCAAATCTTACTACTTTCCTAATGATTACTCCGTTTTAACGTGGCCTTTTCTTATTTCCTTTTCTGGGAGAGGGGGAAGCAACTGTTTTGACATATTTAATGTTTTCCTAATACGTTATCATTTTGTGAGTTGAGCAGCTATTTGCACATATTGCTTCTGATGCCATGTTGAAGCCATTAGGCCACTTTGCGGAGTTGCCATCTTCGTCTAAGTATCCGGCCATGTGTGCTGGTGAGTTTGTTGAACTGGAGCTTTCAGCAATTAATCTCAAGGGGAAGAAGAAACAGGAGGTCTCTTAACAAAAAAGGGGCTTGTACAACTATCAACGGTCTCAACATTGTAATCCAAAAGCGTGGTTGAAATAAAGAAATGCTTTGTTTTCTCGAAACATGATGCTTTGGAGGCTCAGAATTGGGATATAATGGTCATGTGTAAATAATCTGGTTTGGAGAAGGGATAACGCTCGCCTGTTTTGAGGTTTTTGTTTGGATCTGTGTGTGGGCTTAGTGGTCCAGATTCAACTGCAGTAACATGTTCCGATTCATGTATCGCAGCTTGAAAGAGAGAGAGTGAGAGAGAGCCCTATGTTTCTTTTCTTGAACATGAATTGTTTAATTCACCAATGCTCTCTTAAATGCATTCACCAAAGAGAGAGAGACTCCCTATGTTTCTTTTCTTGACAATGAATTACTTGAAGAAGTTTATATGAGGTTATAACCTTTAACCTGTTGAATTAAGGTGCACATCAAAAATCCGTCTGACAAAATTGTTTTGATGTTGGAAAACTCTCAAATTGATCATCTTGAAAACAACGAGATGTATGAATATAAAAAGAAAAAAATAATTGAATTCTAAAAATATTGTATCTTGCAACACATATTATTTGGACCGTTCATTTTCAAGATTTTTAAGTGTTTATAGATCTACTTGATTTGAACTATTTTTTAAATTTAAAATTTTATAAGGATACAGTTTCTATGAGTCCATGGATTCATATGTAGAAATGTGGGCCTCTTAATAATTAATTTTTTAAATAAAATCTGATCCTAATTTTTAGGGAATGTATAATCATCAACATGGATATTATGAATCTCAAAAAATAATTAAATTTTAAAAACTAGAAATGATATTTTTTGGAGAAAATGTGTACGTTGATTTTACCTTTTCTTTAGAGGACTATTATTTACGTGGATGGTTTATATCTCCAAGCCCGTATAGTAACCTATGCGGGCTTGGACGCACCAAACAATTTTCTTTTTTATAATGAGAGATCAAATTATATTCTCGAACCATCCTATAAAATTTTTACATCAAAATTATATTTATAATAAAATTTGGATGCGTGCCTTAATTTGATTGTTTAAAGTTGTACCTTAATACACACCACACCTCTTAGACATCAAAAAAAAAAAAAAAAAACAAAAAGAAAACAAAACGGGGAGGGAAATTACAAATAACCCTCAAGACTAGACTTTCTATGCAAGTTACTCCCAACCAAATTTTTTTTCTCACTTTTTCTCTCAAAATATACATTTCTAGCAAATACCCCCAAGTAAAAAGGAGCACATTTTTTTTACGAAAATACCTTTTTTTGTACATAAAATTTTAATTTTGGCCGGACATTCACGTGGGCTTACATGGGCTGCCAGACCTCTCTTTGACATTGCCGGACCCTATTAAACTAAACAAAGTGTTGGACCGCTATTTGGCATTGTTGGACCGCACTTTGGGTCTTGTTGCTAGACCGCATGGGCTTGTTGTCGGATCACATGAGCCTATTGTTGGACTGCTCTTTAGCAGTACCAGATTGTATGGGTCTATCGCCATATCATTCTTTATCGGTGCCGGACCGCTATTGTTATTTATTGGACCAACATTACATTGCTGGATCGCCCTAAGAATACGTCCGACCATCTTTATGTGGGAAAGAGGAGAGAGGCATGGGTAAAAGTAAGACAGGGTAGTTTAGATTTTTTTTTTATTTTTTATTTTTGAGTAGGGGGTATTTACTAAGAAAATATATTTTGACATTAAAAAATGAGAAAAAAGTTTTGGTTGGGGATAACTTGCATAAAAAATCTAGTATCGAGGATTATTTGTAATTTTTCCAATAAAAAAATAGAAATTTCTACACTCTCTCTTCGATGCAATTCACCAAAGCTCTCTCTCTCGCATATGCACGATCGCACAAACATTGCACAGGGGAAAGTGTCTAGGCAAATGGGTGTCTTTCTTTTCTTTTATTATTATTATTTTTTTTTTCAAAAATAACTAGCATCACCGAACACGTGTGAACCAAGGAGTGTGTATACATTTGAGACTACAAAGTGTCATGCTTAATAGAAGAAGTAACCAGCTCCTAGTTAGAGAAACCATAAAAGACTTATGAACTCGAAATCAGTTGGTGATCACATGGATAGTACTGAAAGACCCATATGCATGACCACCCTCACCTCCATTTGAGACCCACTTATATAAATTCTTCACTACTTCCTTTCTTTTTCAACTACTTCTGCTTTTGTTAGGGGTAAGAAAAAATATGGAGAAGGGTTTAGTTAAGCATAAGCCATTGACTTTAATGGTGCTACTCATGATGGTGGTGATGGTGCACCCAGGCTCAAGCCAGGCCTGCCCTAGCACCTTCTTTGGGGCTCTGTTGCAGCTCATTCCATGCAGGCCGGCGGTTGCACCGTTTAGCCCGATACCGCCAAGCGATGCATGTTGCAATGCAGTGAGGACCCTAGGCCAGCCCTGCATGTGCGTGCTCATCAATGGGCCACCGATCTCGGGGATCGATCGTAACATGGCCATGCAGCTCCCAACCAAGTGCACCGCCAACTTCCCGCCCTGTGAATAGCTCTCTCTCTCTCTCATACACATCCACACGCACACATACACAAAAATGCAATCACACTAGCCTTGGGGCAGAGTGTCGTAATATTCGTGTAGAAATAATATTGATTAAAGAAATTTGCTGCACAAACACATGCATGTATGTACGTGTGTGCATGTAAAATGATCTTTACAAATATAAACGTGCATGCTCTTACATAGCATGAAACATGCACATATATGTACAATTTAAATCTCAACCATTTGGGTCTTTTGAATGAGAACCGAAAGGGCGCTTTGATTAGTTTGGAACGTGGGATTAATGACGATGAAAGATAAGGGAGCGTATACATGTTTTTTATTATTTCTATTATTTAGGATAAAATACTTTGGGATATTTTGATTAATTTATTAAGAAACAAGCTTTTTCATACTTCTGATTTTGAGTTTCGTGCTCATTGTTACATTGGGGAAGGCACGGCTTCATAAAGCCACACCCCAGTTCTTGCCAAAAAAGTATAGTGCAAATTGTTCTTGACCTAAAAAGTTATGGTTTTGAAAAAAAAACAGATTTCAAGTCTTACTTTTTAGTATTTTTTCTTAATCTTCTATTCCATTGTATAAAGATATGCCACATTGCACTATTTTTTTAAGCTTGAAGGTGCAAAAATAGGTTTGCAAGGGTTTCTGGTGCTTAAGATTGTTTTAAAATAGAGCCTTACCAAATATAGGAAAGCCGTCGTGTCGTGGAACGTCGCTTGTTTGCATAATTTTTTTAACTTAAAAAGCAGTCCATACAGGGTTTGAAAATAAGAAAAGTATACAGAAAGACCATTTACTTTTAGCACAGGTCAACCATTTATTTCCATTAAATTTCAAATCAAATGGCTATAAGTGTACAGTAACTAAACTCAAAGCCCAACATAAAGTTTTTGAATTTCGTGACACACTCCAAGCCATACAATTAGACATCAAATGGCTAGGATTAATTGTGGCCTCTTTATACTAAAGATAAAGGGACTCATAGTATACAATCTCTTGAACATAACATATTTTCCATTTTTTTTCCTTCTTCTCTTCCCTAATTTCTTGCTTTTTGCCTTGGCAGGTGACCTTGGGCGTTGAAATAAGTGCAAGTGAAACCACCAGCTCCACTGAATAAAGGCCTTTTGCTCAAGCCTACTACTCATCTCTCTAACAAAACATAAATAACGTTTTCAACTCTATATCACAAATATCTTTCTCCAATTCTCTTGGAAAGTTTTCAACTACCTAGACTTAGTTAACTATTAATCTTTGTGTCATCATTTACCATAAGGCAAGTGTGGATTTACTGGTCTATAAAGCAAGTAATATTGCTGTGGATTTACTGGTCTTTGTGGCAATCAATCTCTCTCTCCCTCTCTTAGCTAAATAATCAAAGTTTTTTTATCTTATCTAAGCTTCGATAGGAGCAAAAGTAATATCATCCTCAGAGCCTTTTCCTAATAAATTGAGATCGGATCAGCAAAAATGATATAATCGGCTTAATGCTTGGTTGGTTGAAAAATGAATTAACTATGCCAATTTTCTTGGTTACATTAACTGGATATTATTGGGCCTATTATGCTAATCGAATCCAGACTTTTTTCTCACAAAGAACTATCTTTTATCAGGGTGCACACATTAAGATTCTTGTAGAGAAAGTTCCTTTATTCGTACATCTGCCATGACATGTCTTTAACAGTAAAGCTTGACACGACACTCGAAACAATTTGATAAAATGCGTTTGTTTATCAATTTGATAAAATGTGGGGTAAAATCTAGCCCCAACAGCTTTGGTTTAGATCAGGGTTATTAAGATCGGACCGGTGCTTGAACTGAGAAAGGGATTAGTCCACTTAAAACTGGTACAACCCACAAGTCCAAAATGCCGGATCAATTTTATTTATTTTTAGTTCAACAATAGGCATTAAACTTGAGATGTAGCTGCTCATCATTCAAGCCCAAGCCCGATTTCTAAAAAATTCTTCAGTACCTTTCAACAGAGAAAATCCCTTATCCATGATAGAAATGAAACTCAATTTTACATCAATTTATACTGGAACATTAAGACTACTAGCATTTATTCTGTTTTGTTCCCTCATACAAATTAGAAGATAAAAATAAGCAGGAGTGGATCAAAATCATTGATGCGTGTATGAAGTATGACGATGGTGTGAACACAAGGCATCCCAAATTCAGCATATGTTACCAAAACTGGGATATGAATGCACATTATTTTGAAATATCACATAAAAATAATATAAGAGTTGGGTCCATCTAATTAAACAACCCAAATTACACAAAAAAGATAAAAGATCAAGTCATAACATCTCAAATCTCAACCACACACACATTAACTAACAGGGAACTCGATCTTTGCAGAACCTATTGAGCTCCCAATTCCACCTGCATTCAACTGAACGGCAACCACTTGTATCTTCCACCTGATCCCACCCCATTGATCTCTGCACCATGCATTTCGGATTCCTGCAATTTCGTTTTCTCCATGACAATCCCTCATTGATCCATAGACTACTAAGAGTACTCCTTGTATTTTTTCTACGATATGAGATTAAATTTTGACTTTGTTTCTCGATCCTTTCCATCAATTCCACCCCCTGTGAAAGGTCTCCTGTACTTAGTTGGATCAACCCCAAGGCATAAATAGAGTCTGAGTGCCCTGCTTTCATAGCCTTCCTCAAGTGTTGCACCTCCTTCTCTTTGTCACCCAAAGTAAAAAACATTATATGAAAACCACACAACGACAATATAATCTTCAAGTAATGGTGATAGAAATGTAATAAGAAATTTAGGACATGTTTAAATGTCTTTGTTATCACTAATAATTTACTGTTTCAATAAAGTTAATCATGATAATGAGTTATACGTTATTTGGTTGTCTATCATAAAATTTTCTGAGATAAACTTATAGGCAGTTTTATATAAAAAATTTTTATCTTTTTGAAAAGTTGTTTTACGTTATTCATAGTAATTTATCAAGCATCCCATCTTCTTTGCAAGAAATAGCTAAAATAACTAGAAGTCACTAAAAAGTAAAATATTTAAATAGTATTTTAAATAATACAAGATACATATCAAACAACTAACAAAATAACATTGTCCATAGTATATTAATTTCAAATAAGATAATATATTCCAAATAAAATTAGTAGTCACCCAATAGGCCCTTATAGTATAAAAACAGTAGGGACAGCTTGTGAAAAGGAAACAATGCATAAGCAACAAAATGATCATATTTACATTGTATTTTATTACATATGTCATGAAGGCCTTATGCTCATGATAATTCTTCCTGGGAAGCCGACCTCAATTAGTTGGGAAAAAGGCTATTCCAATAAAAAAATGGGTTATAATCCTCGTGACCTTGGAAAATACAGGATTTGTGCCTGAGCTTGGGCTTGATTGGTTAAGAAATTGATAATCGCAACATTATATACCAAGTTTGAGTCCACATGCCGAACTACCCATAAAGACAGTTAATGGAATATCTAGTCATGAGGATGACTATTCACAATCCAAGGTCGCGAGGATCATCGCCGTCCAAATAATGGCTGTTGTAATGAAAATGACATGATCTCACACTCTCTCCATCACAGTCCAACCATTTATCGTATGATACGTGAACCCTCGTGATTATAGATTTCCGCAGTAGTGAGGATTACAAAGACCTTCCTGCAAGGGAAAGGATACAATACACGGTATGTGCATGGTGTAAACTTTCCTCCACCACTCTCCTAAATGACCAAGATGGTGATGAACCATTTCATCTTCACTGATCGGGCTTCAACTAGAGGGACGGTTCATCTCCACCATCCGTCATAGAGGACGGATGGTTGAGACGAACCTGTATCATAAAACCTACACGCTAAGTGTGCACTATGTGCAATATGAGTAAAAAATGATAACCTTGGGCACCCTTAAGTATACTGCCCTATTTGTACAGGGGGAAATTAGCCAAGAAACAATGTACTATCCTAAATAAAAAGCTGCTCCTGCATAAGCATATTATCTATTTACTCCCTCAGGTAAATTCTTAAACTAAAAATAATTTTAGGATCTCAAAGTTTGGGGATGTAATCTCTTAATAGTGGTCCACATCAAAAAAATAAGTTTTCCAAATGGCATGTTCCACATGCTTGAAAAAATAATGTCCCAAAAATGAACCAAGAACATCTAATTTTTTATGGAAAAGATCTAAGTGTTAAAGAACTCAAATCCATTTTTTTTTGTTTTAAAATACTCATCTAACTCTTAATTGGGTCTCAAAAACTCAAATAAAAAATATTACGTCTTTTCCCCTAAGGAGTTATGTACAGTATGCTCCCACAGGAGCATGCTATACATGCGCACTTAATATAGCCTACTATAGGGCATGTTGTACGCTAAGACTGTTAAGAGTTTTTCACTTTATAATCACCAGATGCTTAATTTCAAAGAAAAAAAAAAAATAGATTTTGAGTTTTCAATGGTTGAATAAAAATGGGACGGTCTTGATTATTCCTAGGATGCTATATTTTTTGGGCACATATAGAGTGCTTATGTTTTCTATTTTTCCCTCCTTTTTTTTTTTGAGACTGGTTAGTAGTTCGAGGAAATTACATCCCCCAAACTTTTGGGTTCTTAGACTGAGTTCTACTCGAAGGAGTAAATATATTATATGCTCCCGCGCAGAAACATATAATCTTTTGGATTTTATATAGAACTAAATTGATCAGTTGGCATTTTGGCGCATGAAATTTTCGAGAGAGAGAGAGAGAGAATAATTGAATTTAACGGCTTGGATTTTAGCATGTCTCTTAGAGAGAGAGAGAGAGAGAGTACCATCCCTGTGAGGTACAGGGTTACCGGCATCAGCACAATGCTTGGCCAATGTCCAGGGTTTAGGCTCGTCCAATACGCTTCCAACCATTATCTTCTTTGAGAATCTCTTCATAACTAACGGCTCATGACTCATGCTCTTCAACCTCTTACACCTTATTTTAGAGACCACAAAAAATCACAGAGTAAAAAGATTGAAACAAAAAAAAAAGGGAAAAGAAAATAAAAGAAAAGACAGAGAGAAAGTAACAAACATATGATGATCCAAGTGGGGGGTCTGGCTAAGGTGTTGAGAGGAAATTTACATATAAATCCAATTTTAATTTTTATATTTAAAAATGGGCGTGATTTCGTCTTTAAACAATCAACATAAGGTGCACCTTCAAATAGTGCCAAAAGATATCGTTTGAATATATTTTCATATTAATTATAAAATTTTAATCTTCAAAATTAATGTAGATGACGTAGATCTCTGAACACTTGAAAATCTTGAAAATTGATGACCTAGATAATATACTATAAGATGCACTATTTTTAATACTTAAAGTCATTTTCTATTTTAAATGTCAATGTATCAAGGTCGAGATGAATGGATCTAAGAGTTTTTCAGCATCCAAACAACTTCTTCTACTGAATATTTGAAAAAACAAAAAAAAAAAATGTTTGCCATCAAATACTAGTAGGTTTAATAAAATTTAATGATATTTTCCTACAAAAAAAAAAAACATAAAGAGAGAGGGAAAAATACTGTGTATGGATGACTTAAGGAAGAAACTCACGTTAGTTTGAGACAGATGTGGTCCCTTAAAGGACTTAACCTTCCCTAAAATTTGGATAAAATTTCACTCCTACATTCAGGTTTTCTCATATATGATTTCTATATATACATTTCAATGTCTGCTAGTTGCTTATGCTTACACAACAAAGTCAATTGCCCTTTTCATGAATTGATATCAAAATGAGCAATTTGTACATTACGGCTTTGGAAAATGTAACCAAATAGGAGGTTGAATTGGTCTATTCAAAGTTTCAAACTGCAAATAAAGTAAAGGAATTTTTACATGCACCCCAATTCTAAAGTGGAATAAAATAAAAATATCAGAAATTTGTCACTGTATTATCAAGAATTAACTAGAGAGTAGATTTTCATATTCAATACCATAATTAGTTGAGCATAATCAAACCCCTGCATTTAGATAAACAAAAGAAAAGAATAAGATCAATTGGAAGGAAGAATCAAAAAGGTCTTCAAGCCCCATGATTAAATAAGTCAGAATCCATTGCATTATGCCAAATATAGGACCAATGTAAGATGCAACTGTCACTAAGACAGACTAGATAAAGTGGATCCGGAGTTTAACTTTATTAACATGGCAGACACCATGCCAAATCCTAGCCAACTTGAAAACTCAGAACCGCTAGAATTACATGAATCTTACACCAAAAAAATAGAAATAAAAAAATCTACAAAGAAAGCAAGAAACAGAGCGAGAGAATCAATTATGTGACGATCAGAGGTGGCAAGGGCCTCAGTGTTGTTCTGGGCTTTCTTGGGGACTCATTGCACCAAGCTTTAACAGACTCAGAAACCCTAAATTGAGATAAGTACACAAATTGTTCTTTCACAATACCAAACAAAAAATAAAACAAAACAAAACAAAGAGTGAGACAGAGATAGAGAGAGACAGAGAGAGGGCTATAGAGAGAGAAAGTGCTAGAGAGACGGAGGGGTACCATTAGGAGCTTCAATTTGCGTCCTCAGGCACAGAAATTCCCTGAGCGTCAAGACGTTCTATGGCTTTATTGTGAGCCCAGGTCTCGAGAGTGAGATCAGGCTTGGCGTTGAGCCCGATTCCAAGAATCACAACAGTGAGAAATGCAGTAACATAGTAGGGGAGCTCCCAATCCTCCCATTCCCTCGATTGACCAGGAGGTGGAGGAGTCCTGATGAACAAGTAGCCATTAAGCCTCTCCTGCATCCCTTGGCTGGTCCATCTACTCTCTCCATGACCATGGCCATGGCCATGGTCTCCTCCTCTGATGCGATTGTAGAGATTCAGCCTCTTTCTAAGCATACCTGAGCTCAATAATCCCTTAAGAAATGACATTTTCTCTCTCTAAAAGAACCCTCCTCCTCCAATGGTTCTGAAAAAATCTCTTCGTTCTAGGGGTCATTCGGATCCTTGGAAAGGGATCTGTGAAAAGTATTTCTTATAAAAAGGATAATAAAATAAATCAGATTGAAGCAGTAGAACCTTGTGCTGATTTCCGAGCCATATTAGTGGACAAGTTCATAGCAACCTTTTTTTCAATAAATTTTTTTTAACAACTTAAATCATCAAACAGAAACCCAATAAGAGCTAGCAAAGATAATATTCGAGTGAACTCTTCTATCCTTGATTAAATTATTTTCTCTCCAAGGATCTGTTTCTTGGGTAACACGATGTCTTATACATCTTCCAATCATATTAGTGCTGTTTTAAGTTGTAGGTTTGCAAGATATAGACACACATTAGAAATTAAAACTGGCATAAATGGTATAATTGGGTAATTAGTAAACAATGCGTACAAAATCATACAATGTTGTTGCTACTTTTCGATTACACATAAGAAATTACAACTGACATAAATGGTACGGTTAGATAATTAGTATACGATGCATACAAAATCATACAATGCTGTTACTACTTTTCAATTTTGTATTCTACTGTGACATCTTACAAAATCATATAACACTGTTGCTACCTTCCGATTTTTTATTTTCTGTAAGCTAAAATCACAAGAAAAACCCAAAACATGACATACCTATCTAAAAAAATTTCCACAAAGACGAGGTAAAAACTATAAGTTTCCAAGAAAAAAGGTAAAAACCAGAACATCAATTCTGCAATCCATCAAACCCAAGTAGCCAGAAAACTAGAGAATACAAGAATCACCCTAACATACAAAAAAAATTGCTGCCCTTTCAATTCCCCCAAAAAACAAAACAAATAATTCAGTAAAGAAATCTTACCTCGTTTTGTCTCTACAACGCTTTTGCTGTCGTCTTCCGAAACCCTATCTAGGATGCTGAAATGCAAAGCTTGAAAATCCTAGATAGTTTGTTTTGAGAGAGAGAGAGAGAGAGAGAGAGAGAGAGAGAGAGAAGAAATAGTTTCGTGGGTTAGGTCTAGTGGGCAACGGGTGAGAGAGAGAGATTTGGGAGTGTAGAGTTTGCAGCGAGGTTGGCGTTAAAGGGCGAGGGAGCTTGAGAGGGTGGGTTAGCAAAAGGAGAGAGACGCGAACAAGAGAGGATGTGTTTTTAGGTAAAGCTTTCTATGTTCCCCTACAACATAAGATATAAGTTTTATCCAATAGGTAGAATATCCATTTCCGGTTAACATTACAAACAATTGAAGTTCTTGAGTGCAGCAAGTGCTCTTCTTTCATAAGATGAGCTACAAGAAGCTCGAGCATAGTTGGATTTGTAAGTTCAAAGAATTGGGGCTGTTTTTTACCAATAGTTTCCCATCGATTCAAAGTGAATGTCAATAATAGAAAATATTATTTTCAAGATTTTTAAACATTTATAGATCTATTCAACCTGCACTATATTTAAATATAATTAAAAATAAAAATAAATTTGTTGTTTAGGACAGCAGCCTTCCACAAACCACACCCTTGGCAAGGGTACAATAGTAATTTTTGAGCCACATTAACATATACGTTTGAGTGCCCATGACGACGGGCGGGAACTCTGCGTCCATTGCAGCCAACACACCGCGCATTTCAAGTTTTAAACTCAGCTTTCCGCCATCACAAAACTGACGATCAAGCTCTGCATTTCCTCATAAAACCCTAATTGTCCCCACTAGAGGAATGACTCTCGAGCTCTGTGTTTCCTGAGAGAACTCTAATCGCTGATCATTAGAGAAATTTAGCTCAGGGTCTCCTGCATATCAGAAAACCCTAATATTTGGATAGTATAGCAACGATGCTGAAGATCTTTGTTTGCCTAGAGCCATGCATTTTAGAGCGATGAACCTCAAGCTCTACTTTCATTTGTAAACCCTTTTTTCCCGTTTGTACCATTAGAGCAATGATGCTCAAGCCCTGTGTTATCCCAGCAAAAGCATCACACTAATTGTCACATTATATCATTGTGTTGTTGTTTTTGGAGGTTCACCTCATGGATTCATTTATTTCTCGCCTGAGCTCTGGTCCTGCTACCCGGAAACCTTTTCCCAGGTGCCTGACTTTGCATCTCTCTTGTTTCTTCGGAAATTCTGTTCATTTTGGATGTATTTTTCAGCATTTTTCTCTGTAGTTTCAGGGCTCGTTGGAAATGGTTCTCAGTTGAAATAAATGGGCGGATGCCCTATGACTACAAACACCACCTTAGCAGCCTCTTGTTCCGATCTTACTCTCAGGTAGAATTTCTGTCAATTTTCATCATTACTTGGTAAGTCATTCAAGTGAATTCCGGATTCCTCATGTCTTTGATTTTAGAGCTATTTCTGTCTAAGTTTAGGGATTTTTGCACTATGGAAGGATTATTTTCTGGCGATGGGTGTTGTTTTGGTGAAAGATCATCAATATTATTTTTTATTTGTTGCCTATTTTCCTTGAACTGTGTTAAACTCAATCAGTCAATTAGAAATTTGAACACCTTTTTTTGTTTTTTGTTTTTTTGTTTCCTTTTTTCAGTGTCTCTCTTGCATGGAATACACACACACACATAGATTAGTTGCTTATGATTTTTTATGCTTTTAAGTTTTAACCCAAAACGTGATTTGTTTTTGTGTTGTCATGGATTGGAAGATTGATGAAATCAACTGTGGGCAACCTGTAAGATTTGCTTCCTAATTCGTGCATGCTAACATTATACAAAATATTACAATTGCTTCTCATTTTATTCACATCTGAAGTTCATGTCTTTCTTCTGTTTCATTTACAGACGAATTTGAGAAATGACCCTGAGATACTGGGAGTTCCAGTACGTTTCCTAGAATCTGTTCTCAGAAGGTTAGCTTTTGGTTTAATTTATTCACAGTCATTTGATAAATACTAAATAATGTCATTCAGCTACACATCTCATCTTGCTGAAGAAAGAACCTCTTCTCAACTGGCCATGTCTAATTGGTCATTCTTGATTACAAGCTAAATTGTTTTTATGAAAGAACCTCCAAGCACCATTGAAACTGAATGTAGGAACAACTTGTTTGGGTTTTTTTTTCTTTTATTTTGGGGAACTGTTAACCTTGGGTTTGGGTGAATATTGGTTCTTTCTATGTGAATACTTATGACAAAAGCATCCAAAAAAGCAATCAGTATATGGTGCATATCCCCATAAAAAACTACAACCACCATGACAACCATAAGGAAAGAATGAAAATATAAATACGAAGCAATAAAAGACTCTAAAGAATATTAGCAAAAATCACTCTAATGTGATATGAGTGAAGACGTAACAATTGCATGTTGCCCATGCCATCTTGTTTATCATTGTTGGCTACCTACAAAAATAAAGTTCCCGTGGTTGAGTTCTACATATTGTTTGGAGTTAATGTTCCTTAAGATGATGCATGCACTTTTTCTCAAAATGGTATCCATAAATTGATAGATCACACTTATAGTACTTTCAATATATTTGGTATCTAGTTGTGAATACTTGAAGCATTATGGGATTAGAAGGTCTCTTGCCCAATGAAATAAATAATCAATGACTTTGCAGGTCATAGGTGTGGTTCTTATGCAAGGAATCCATCTACTCTTGCATAGATTTATAATTTTATATCACATCTCTTTGTGTTCATTGTCCTGAACTTCTTGGTAGATTTTTGGTGAACCGACTTCAATATACAAAATATAGACTTACTTCAAAGCATACGTTGTTTAATGGACTTTCACAAGTACTCTGCAACTGCAACGGCTCGAACAAGTTGCTCCCCTTGTTCCAGATCACCTAGAACTGCAGTATGATCTTCACCTGATTCCACCTCTTCATCTTCTTGTACTTTTCCCTGGTCTTCTTCATGCACCACAATGGGAGGAACCTGAACCGGATCTTGCAAACTATTATTGAAAATGCATGGTTTTTCTGGCTTCTTCACGTCCTCAATGGTTAGGTCTTCTTGAAAGATCATATCTCCACTCCTGAACACCTTGCTGTTCTTTGGGTCCCATAACCCATAGCCGAATTGTTCATCTGAATACCCTAAGAAATGAGAGTGCTTTATCATAAGATTGGATCTTTGTTCCTTGGGCATGTGCAAGATGCCTTGCACCTGAACACCTTCATGTGTAAATACGAGATACCTTTTTGATTCCAAACTCTCTTTGGGTATCATGATCTATAGGAATAATGGGGGATTTGTTTATATAAGGTAGCATGTTGTGGAAACTACTAAACCCCAGTATGACTTTGGCAACTTGGTGGTGGATAGTATGGTCATGACTCTATTCAAATAATGGTGGGATTCATTCTCTCTGTTGCACCTATATATTGGATGACATATGGCACTATCTTCCCATGCCTATTCCCATGCTTGGCACAACTTCTGAGTGTGTTTGAGGTGTATCCTCCCCCATAATCTGATGGAAGACACTTCAACAATTTGCTTGTCCTCCTTTCCACCTTGGAGTAGAAAGTTTGCATGATCTCATTGGTTTTTGGCGAATTCTAGTTTCTTGCTTTGGATTAGATCAGCGAAAGCACTAGTTGGCAGTCCACCGGTTGGACTGGAGCTCTGGTCCGGCCTTGATAACTTGCTTTAGAGGTTCTCTATCCAGTTTTCTCTCATTCCAAGAGGCACTGTTTTCTCTTTCTTTGATGCCTACCATTGAGGCCATAACACATTATATGTGTTGATTAGAGGTTAAGTTTAACCTTTTCCACTTAATTGGGCCCATTACCCCTTTTTGTGAATGAAGCAGGGGTCCTCCTCCTGGGATGGACTTCCCAACACGTCCAATGAATTACATGCACCTAGTTGAGGCTATGCAACCAAAAGATTGTGAGAAGAAGAAGCAAGGGAAGTATCATATGATGGAGATGAAGATTCACATGAAGAAGAATATTCTCAGGTTCGTTGCCAATTGTAGGGAAGTAACTTTGGTTTTTTACCAATCCTCCCTAATAAAAGATAGAGGAGAAGATCTAAACATGTGATCCTTGTGTCTTTGTGAATTGGCTTAGTGGAGAGAGCTCAAAATATTTCAAAAGAATATAACGTTGCAATTAAAAAAAAAAGAACTTGAGTGGGATAATAACACTCCTTAACTTCTCGAGCAGATGGACACCTCAACAAGATGAATGCTTAATTGTGAAAGTTTTGTTTTGCTCCATTTACTTTGTGGTATTTGAAGGTACTAACCAACCATATGCAAGTATAATTCCTATAAAGTGGTATGTTCATCAATAGCAGATATTAGTGTCTTGATGATGCAAATTTTTGCCAAGAAAAAAGTGGATTTTTAAAAAGACATTAATGGATGGATTGGAAATTAAAAGGAATTAACAAGTCTAGCTTCAATGCTTATGCAGAATTCTTAAGAATTCAAGGAAAAAATGTTTCTAAACAATAACTCAAATCTCTCTCGAAAACCTACTTACAACTCTAATTTAATGAAAGAAATCCTAATTCTAATTGAAATAGAAGTGCTATTAAAAAAATTTTAATGACATTTTTTCCCTTGATAAAACAAATAATTTCATAAGCACTCTAGCTAGTTTTCTAAACTACCAATCAAATCCTAAAAATAAAAAAAAAAACCCTAGAATCCAAAAAAAAAACTTGAAGACCCTAAAAAGTAACATTACAAAATTCCAAGAAAGCCCTAAAATTTGATACGAAAACTTTAAAATTAAGAGGCATCTTCGCTTTCATTGCTTGAGCCGATGAGAACATCTTGGCATTAAGGTTTTAATTTTTTTTGTTTTATTTTTGGGGAGTGAAAACTATGGTTATTGGTCTTTTAACTTATTGAGTTACCTAAGGGTACTTGTGTCTTTTGAAGTTGTAGGGATTCAAGGATATTTTATAAGGTGTCAACCATAAACAATCTAAGTAAGACGCACCTCTAAAGCTCGTTGAAAGATGTAATTTTGGTGTCGAAAATTTCAATGATGGCATGAAAATCTATTTCATATCTAATTATGAAATTTAAAGCTTAAAAGATGGTATAGATCGAGCAGATCTACACATAGATGAAATTCTTGAGAATTGACAATCTAGATAATGTATTCTAATATGTATCATTTTTGAGACTTTAAAATGCTTTTTTTTTTTAAACATTCGTACCTCTCGAGTTTGAGATGATCAATTAGAGGGTTTTTTAGCATTGGATCAATCATTTTTGATGGATTTTTGAGGCGTGCCTTCTTTCTACAACATAAGGTTGTAAACTTATAAACTTTTCCATATTTTTATTTAAGTTTGGGGTGATATGTTTTGAGAACTTTGTGAAGAAAGGAAAAGCCCAAGAAAGGGTTTCCTGAATTCATTGATTGAAGGCATATAAAAGGCTTGGAAGCACCTCCCAAAGTCGATTCCTCGCAACATACTCTTCGATTTCTTTTTGTCTTGTTTCCCATTTATTTCCTTCTTCTTCTTTCTTCTCTTTTCTTGCCCTAAATTCTTGTCATGTACTTTTTGTCATAGTTATCGGAATCTCTCCTCGGACCCCGCGATTCCGGTTCGGAAACCCGTTTTCACGTTTCCATTAAGGAAACTCTATGGAAACCGTTCTTTCGAACCTCGAAAACTCGATTCCTTTATTTCGGAATCTCGATTCCGTACCTAGGTTGGAACCTTTTTTTACAACATAGGAAACTCAATTCCTGGATTTGGGAATCTCGATTCCCCACATATGTGGAAACCTATTTTCAGAACGAAGGAAACTCGTTTCCTTAATTTCGGAATCTCGGTTCAACAATTCTTTTAAAAATATTTTTTGAAACTACAGAAACTCGATTCCTTAGTTTCGGAATCTCGATTCCTTAATTTCAGAATCTCGATCCAACAGATCTAGAGAAACTTGAACCCCCTAATTGTGGGTAAACGCTCCCAGATAGATTGAATCTGGCTTCCAGCGTAGTTTGAATCTTGATTCCATGTTAAATGATACACGGTTCTACATGTAATGAAACTCGTTTCGTCAGGGGTTTGAATCATCTACACTGTATAAAATATTGGTTTCTTGTAAATAATAACCACGAAAGTAATGTTTTATTTTCTAGTGGATGTCATGCTTTAAGGTCCCAAAGGATAACATTAGGTGGCATGTGTAGTAGAAGGAGGTATTATTATTTATAAAACATGCATTTTAGAAGGAATTTAATGAGATTGTGTTGCTTTTTTAGTTATCTTTATTATGTTTCTTATATTTTTCTTTACCTTGCTCATAGTTATGTGAATTGCTTAAGTGAACATGCACCACGTCTCGCCTTGCAACATTGCTTAGTGTTGTTCTACCGATTGCAAAATGATTCTCAGTAATGTTATTTTTACTTTTTTTTTGCCTGATTTAAATGGCTATAGAATAATGTTTCTTATATTTGCGGTGATGTAAATTGCCTTGGTTTCTTAATCTTGCTCATATGTTATGTCAAATTATTTAAATGTCCATAGAATAATGTTTCTTATATTTGCGGTATATAAACGGCCTTTGTTTTTGAATCTTGCTCATATGTTATGTGAAAAGACTGCTTAAGTGATCTTACACCATGTGTAGCCTCGCAACATTGCTTAGTATTTGAATACTGAATGTAAAGTGGTTATTAATAATGCTAATTAAATTTTTTTGCTTCTAATTTAAATGCTTATAAAATATTAAAATCATTTAATAACATATAAAGCAACACGCATAAACTGATAATTGAAACTCTAGACTTTATACATTGTGTAATAAAAAAAAGTTACAATACTTCATAATAGAAAGTGTGTGAGAGAGAGAGAGAGAGAGAGAGAGAGAGAGAGGGGAGGGGGAGGGAGGAGGAGGAGGAGGTAGGT